TGGCTAAGTGGCCCAGTGCCTTGTGTGCGGGGGGGGGGGTGGCTTTTCTCCAAAGCACCAGGAATCGGCCGTGCCCTGGTGCTCGATGTCGGACTTGGTGGAACATTGGCTGGCGAGATGGAGTCGGGACTAGCTGTTAGCAGATGACACCAGGTGTCAGGACTCCTGGGTTCTGTTCCCAGTTCAGGGAATCAGCATGACCTCCTAGTTAGAGCAAGGCCAGGGCTGGGGATCAGGGCTTGGGGTATCTATTCGAGCTCTGGGAGGGGAGTGGGATCTAGAGGTTGGGGCTCAGGTGAGTGGGGTGTGATCGGGAGTCAGGACTCCTGGGTTTAGTTCCTAGCTTTAGAAGGAAGGGGAGTCCCGTGGTTAGAATAGGGGTGGCTGGGTGCCAGGACACCTGGGTTCTGTTCCCGGCTCTGGGAGGGGAGCAGAGTCTAGTGGTTAGAGCAGGGAGGGCTGGGAGTCAGGATTCCTGGGTTCTATCCCTGGCTCTGGGAGGGGAGCGGAGTCTAGAGGTTAGAGCAGGGAGGGCTGGGAGCCAGGACTCGTGGGTTCTCTCTCCGGCTCAGGGAGGGGAATGGAGTCTAGTTTTTCGATTGAGGGAGGGGGGCAGTCTGGGAGTCAGGACTCCCGGGTTCTCTCCCTGGGCCTGGAGACCCACTTCAGGCTAGTGAAGCCGTGTGCAGCCCATCTCCAAAGTGGGACATTTCACCCTGGGGCCTGGCTGAGCGGGGGCCACCCCCATCGCCTCCTGGCACTGGGAGATTCTTGGGAATGTGGGTGGATTGTGCAAGAGCCTGGCTGCAGAAGGTGCAGCAGAGGAAGTGTGTGAGGGCCGCTGGCTTCCCCCACGCTTCCCTTGAACAGGAGCCAGACCCTCCTCCCGGCCCACCCGCCCGCAGGGAGCAAGCGAGTGCCAACCCTTAGAAACCATTCCCCACTGAACGCAGTCATGCTGGTCAACAGAGCCGATTCCCCCAAATGACAGTTCAGTACAGAGGATCTGGACCCCCCACCCCACCCCAGAAAAACAAATCAGAACCCACAGAACAGAGGATCTGGACCCCCAGAAAAACGGATCAGAACTGTAGCTGGGAGCTCCCAAAAGTCAGGGGAAGTTAAACGCGAAATTTCAAATGATTTCTGAACACTGTGGTTTAAAATAGAACATTCAAATACACGGCACAGAGAGCTCACAGCTGGGTGGGAGGGGAAACTGAGGCAGGGGACCAGCCTTGTGTAAGGTCATCAACAGAGCAGCTGCGAATAGAACCCAGGCATCCTGGCGCTGCAGCGGGGGCCTGAGCCTCTGGGCCCTGCTACCTGTCTAGCGCTGGGGGAGTTGCCTGAGTGGGATCAGATTCCCGGATGGGCTGGATCCATGCCGGGGGACAAGGTGCCTGCTGGCTCCAGGTTTTGGGACATTCACGAGACTGTGAGAAGGCAGCAGCCGTGAAGCCCTGCTATCCCTGTCCCGCCCTCCCCGGCAGAGCCAGGGTATCCCCTCCCCGGGGCTGTCTGGTTGCAGCACCTTGTTGTTGTTATTGATCCTTGGACTTTCGCGGCTGATTCAGCAGGGATTTCCCGGCTCATCGGGATGCGTTGCCAGTGAGTCACGGCCCGGAAACCTGGGGTCCTGATGCAGAGCCAAACCGCAAGCCCTAGGCCTGTCAGGGCTCTTTGTCTTTCCAGGGGTGTGAGAGGGCGTGCGGGCTCCCTTCCCAGCCTACTTTGACATGTTGCCCCCTCACTGGTCCCCCTGCAAGATCACCCCCGGTGTCATCTATGCCCGTGCAAAGTGCTAGATCCCAGGACAGATCCCTGGGGGACCCCTCTATTTACCTCTTTCCACTCTGAAAACCCACCGTTTATTCCTACCCTTTGATTCCTGTCTTTTAACCAGTTACCGAGCCAGGAGAGGACCTTCCCGCTTCTCCCATCTCAGCTTACTTTGCTCAACAGCCTTTGGTGAGGGACCTTGTCAACGGCTTTCTGAAAATCTAAGTACACTATGTCCCCTGGATCCCCCTTGACAACATGCTTGTTGACCCCCTCAAAAAATTCTAGCAGATTGGTGAGGCATGATTTCCCTTTACAAAAGCCGTGTTGACTCTTCCCTAACGATCGTATTCATCCATGTGTCTAATAATTCCGCTCTTTACTATAGTTTCAACCAATTTGACCGGTACTGAAGTTAGGCTTATGGGCCTGTAATTGCCAAGATCTGAAGCCCTTTTGAAATATCAGTGTCATGTTAGCTAGTGTCCAGTCATCTGGTACAAAGGCTGATTTCAGTGACAGGTTACATACCACAGCTAATATTTGTGCAATTTCATCTCTGAATTCCTTTAGACCTCTTGGGTGAATGCCATCTGCTCCTGGAGATTTATTACTGTTTAATGTATCTCTTTGTTCCAAACCCACCTCTGTCGACACTTCAGCCTGAGAAGAATGGCTCAGCTATGGGGATCTCCCCCACATCCGCTACCTAACATAGAGCAGCCCAGTGGCTGCTCTGAGATACGCCCAGTTGCCTGTGGCCCCAAGGGGCTTTCCCAGAATCGAGGAATAGCTGGGGTGCAGCCAGCATAAACACAAGCTGTGGAATGTGCCGTTGGGGATTCCCGGGTAGCCAGTGAAACCAGCTTTCCTGGCCATGTCCTGTCCTCACTCCTCGCTGTTATTCACCTCTGCTACATTCCTCCCCAGAGACAGCTCCACTGTAACACTGCCAGGATGGCTTCTTGTATATACAGAAGGCTAGATTCTGCCTTGATTATGCCACAAATGAGCGAGGAAGCCAAATAACCCAGGCGTCCTGTCTACCTGCCCACCTCCCACTCTAACCACTAGACTCGACTCCTCTCCCAGTGCCAGGTGCAAAACCTGGGAGTCCCTGTGTTCGAACTAGGGTGACCAGATATCCCAATTTTATAGGGACAGTCTCAATATCTGGGGCTTCGTCTTAGATATTACCCTCCCCACACGCACTCCCGTCCCGATTTTTCCCACGTGCTACCTGGTCATCCTAGCTCAAAGCACCAGACCCCATTCCTCCCCCAGAGCTGGGGATAGAACCCAGGCGTCCTGGGATGATTGCAGTCACCAGCAGGCCATACGCTCCCCTTTCAGAGTCAAGAATAGAACCCAGGAGTTCCGCCTCACAAGCCTGTGCTCTAACCACTAGACCCCACTCCCCCACCCACAGCAGGAACTGTAGCAGGCTGCTCTTGGCTTAGGCCTCTGTTTGAAAGCAGACAGGTGAAAGCCCTGGGGAGAGACATAACACTGCAAGGACTGCACAGGACGGTCTAGGTTTGCCCTGCCGGTTGGCTGAGGTTTGTCATTTCCTGAGGCTCGGGGCCCAGTCAGTTTTGCTGTCTCTCTGCAGCGGGGTGTGCCGGCACGCGAGCGTGTGCGTGGGAAACTTCCCGCTTGCTCGTTTGTTTGTTTCCCAAAAGTGTTACGTTGACAATGCACCTCGCTGCAAGAAAGGGGAACATGGAGCACTCACTGTGCTGAGCGTGCCGGGCTGCTTCCGGAAACTGCCCGCTTCCCGGGCACTGACGCAGCCCCGACTTACAGGGCGAGGGGCACCGTGAACAGTCCCTGAGTAGCAAACTGAGAACTGAAAGTCTGAGGCAACTCGGGCCGGCGCTCCTAGCCCGCAGGGTAGGGGGGTAGGTTGGGGGTGTGGCCAGGGCACACTGTGCTGAGGCTATTCTCTGCTCCCGAGGGTCCATAGGTGGCAGATCAGGGGCGTGACTGGAGTGCACTGAGTTGTGGCTGTTCTCTGCCCCCCAGAGTCCATGAACAGAGCAGTGGTGGGCCGGGATGGGGAATGCCACGAGATGGCTCTGGCTGGCCAGCCTAGTCTGGCCCGGTCATCTCTGGGGTACCAGTTTAACTTCTTGAGGGGTACCGACAACTGGGCGATTAGGCGCCCCGGCCTGGCCCCGCTCCCCAGCAGGTGTGTTTGTGAGCATGTGTGTGTACGTGAGGGGTCCCATTAGCCAGAGGCCGTGACTTTTCCCCTAACGGCGAGGCGGAAGCAGGGGATGCCCTTCCCACTGTTGGCAAAATCACGGCATTGGGCTCATGTCCCAGACTGCCCAGGAATCGTGACATCACGAGTTACACAGAGCCTGACCTGTAGGGCGCAGGGCACAAGTTAGAGCAGCCCAAAGGCCACCCTGGTGCGCGTGTGAGTGGCCAGGGGCCCGGCTCGTACTATGGTGCCTTCTGGACTGCGTCACCTGCAGCGTGAGCGGGCCCGCTCTCCAGGCCAGCCGCCCTGGGGCCTGCCAGCTGCCCCACAGCCAGCCGGAGCGGGTTGCGGCCTTTGGCTGGGGGCCGAGAGGCAGCTTGAAAGGACGACGCCGTGTGACCTCTGTTGGAAGAAATGAAAACTACCAGTGCTGATGGGGAGACAGGAGATTTTATTCCCCTGACCGGGAAACTCTCTGGAATTTATTCTTCAGCTCAACCAGGCCTCTAAGCTTGCCAGGCTCCCCCGGGGATGATGGGAACAAATCCTATCACCCAGAGGAGCCTGATCTTGCTCCCAGCAGAGCCAAACAGCCCCCCTGACAGCTAACGTTTACCTAGAGTGACCACATTTACCTGGGGTGACCAAGTTGTCGTTGGGTTTTTTGGGGGTTGGGGGGAGGTGTTAGTTGCATATATAAGACAAAGCCCCTCATGTCCGGATGTCTGGTCACCCTACTTTGACCCCTTCTGGGGCCTGTTTCCCCCCCCTCCCACCATCTGTTCATTCACTCATTCCCTCTCTCTCTCTCGCTCTTTCCTCCCTGGCTTCCCCCGCCCCTCCACCTTTGGTCTGGTCTTTTCCCACGCCCATCCATCCACGCCCGCCTCCGGCTCTTGGCTTTTTGCTTTATTTATTTATTAATTTTGTTTAATGAGATGAGCTCATGGGAGGCGGAGCTACAAGAAGCCCCGCCTCCCCCGGCTCGCCTATATAAGGAGCCGGGGAAGGGGCCCCAGCTCAGCTCGGCTACTGCTCAAGCCGTGGAGGCTTTAAAGCAGCTCCCTCCTGGGGGAAGACAGACAGACAGACAGACTCAGTCACTCCTCTCCTCTCCTCTCGCCAGCTGCTCCTCACTCCTCTCCTGCTTCGCCATGAGCTCCATGGTGGATGTAAAAACCCTGTACGAGGTAAGAGGCGATCTCCTGTCTTGGGGGCGTGGGCTGAGTTTCCTGGGCTGGCCCGGCTCCCCCTAAGCTAGGCTAAGACTGATTTATGGGCGGGGGGGGGGGTGATTTCTCCTGCCAAAGCTCACAGCTGTGGACTCACCCCGCCCTTATAAATTGTTGGTTTGTCGGCTGACCCAGATGGGTCACTCGATTGCACAGAAAAAACAGGGAGGGGTTTTTTTTAAAAAAAGCAGCCCCCCCCCCCCGAAAAGATCTTGGCTCTATCTGGCCTTCTCCCCCCCCCCCCCTTTTTGGAAAAAGACAGAAAGTTGCTAAAGCGGGTCGGATCTGGAGTTGAGAACTCGGCTCGATTTGCTTCTCCACGGGCGCCGGTCTGGCCGTGTTCTCACTGCGGGGGAACTTGGCGTCGCTTCGTTTTGATTATTTGGGGGGGGGGTATTTTGTCTCGGGCCCCAGGAAGGAAAGTTTTTGAGGGCGCGGAGCTGGGCGGGCTTGTGTGAGCGACTCCCCAGACCCCCGATTCTCGAGGCCTGGCCCCCAGCTGGGCGGGGGGGGGGTGTTTAATGCGAAATCCTCGCTGGAGTGAATTCGTTTTGCTCGGATCTGTTAAGAGCGGAGCGAACAAACCGGGGGCTGATTTTGTGTTTGCGTGCCCCCCAATCACTTCCCCATTCGGTAAATGAAGAGTAGTTGGGGGGGCTTCAGGAACTGCTTCCAAAGGCAGGACCCCCCTAAATCCCGCCCCCCCCCAAACTCAGCAACCAGGGGCCGCCTCTGCTGGCCTGGGGGGCGACCCGTCTCCCCTCTGCCCGGCGATGGCTTGATTTGGGGGTTGTGGGGGGAGACTCCGCTCCGGTGCTGATTGAGTGTCTGGCCGCTCGGGTTAATTTACAAAAAGCATTTCGAGAGACGGCCCGGTCCCTAGGGGGGGTCCCTTACCCCGACTGGGGGTGGGGGGCGGGGAAGAGAAATTCCCAGCGGCCAGGGAAGGGTTAAAGTGGCCTAGAATGACGTTCCTCCCTGCCGCCATAGCGAGCTGTGGGGGGCGGGTGGGGTGTGACTTTCCGCCCCGGGAGGGGGGAAATGCAGAAACTTTGAGTGCGGCAGGAACTTGGGGGGTGCAGCTAGGGGACTGTGTGTGGGGGGGGGTGTTGAGCAGGGCTCCTCTCTGGATCGGTGGAGGACGGAGGACCCCCTGGGGGGGGTAATGGGGGTGAAGTGGAAAGAGTGGAGGAGAAAGGGCAGTTCCCCATTTAGGTTTACACCAGGCTAGGGTACACACCATGGGAATCTGCCCCCTCTTCGGTTCTGTCACTTCTTCCCCACCCCACCCGTGGATTTCTCGGGGGCACCTCGCTTTTTCCACTCCGGGTGCCCTGCAATCGCGCCCCCCTCCCATGCAGCAGGCTGGTGGAAGGCCCCTTGCTTTGGAAGGGGGTGTGTGTGTTGGGCGGGGGTCCATGCCAGTATAAAATCCTCCTTCCTGGGCCCACAGCTCAGTACTCTATAAATAACCCTGGGCCCTGTGAGTCACCACCCAGCTCAGCCTCGCCCCACCCACCCCCCTCCCCGGAGCGCCTGGTGCTGGGGAGAGCCAGGTGCTGAGTTTGCTGGAGGCAAAGTGGCCGTGGCGGGGGGGAGGGGGGGTCCTACCTCGTTGGGGCAGTGCCCAGCTCCAGGGGTATCTCCTATGTGCTTCCACCTTGTTTTGTATGAGAGCCAGGCATTAACCCCCTGCCCTTCCCTCTCTCCCTGCCCCCCAGAACCTCTTGAACCTGAATCTGAGCGAGGAGCGGGATGCTCCGACCGGCTCCGAGCCCCGGGGGGGGCAGCGGCGACTCCCACGTCTGGCCCCTGCGCACGGTCTGGAGCCCCAGCACGGAGCAGGCGCTCTCCCCGCCCGAGCCGGCGGCCCCCCGCCCCTCCTTCCGCACCGACCGGTCCCTCAGCCTGATCGAGGGCCGAACCCTGCCGCCCCCCCCGCCCGGCTTCCCCCCGCTGCAGCCCCCGCCGGCCCCCGCCCTCTCGGCCCGCTACAAGACGGAGCTCTGCCGCACCTACAGCGAGACGGGCCGCTGCCGGTACGGGGCCAAGTGCCAGTTCGCCCACGGGGCCGGGGAGCTGCGGACCCTCAGCCGCCACCCCAAGTACAAGACGGAGCTGTGCCACAAATTCTACCTCCATGGCGAATGCCCCTACGGCTCCCGCTGCCACTTCGTTCACTACCCGGAAGAGCGGGGGCTGGCTGCTTCCCCGCAACTTCTGCGCCAGAGTCTCAGCTACACCGGGGTGCCTGCTGGCCGCCAGGCCTCCCCGCCGCCCGGCGTCTCCGACCTGGCCTCTTTCGCCCGGGCGCCCTCCATCTCCCCGCCTCCTGCCGGTGACCTCCTCTCGCCGTCCTTTACCCGCCTCAACTCGGAGCCTGTGCCTCGCGTGGCCACCCTGGGAGAAGCCCTGGCTGCCTCCTCCTCCGCCCCCGGCGGGCGCTGCACCTGCCGCTGCGGGGGCACCGCCAGGCTGGGCACCTTCGAGAGCCCCCGGGACTACTTCGCCGCCGCCCCGGGGACACCCGTCGCCTCCGGCCTCCCCAGGACCCCGTCGTCCAACTCGCTCTCCGACCAGGATTGCTACAGCAGCTCAGGCAGCCTCAGCGGCTCCGAATCGCCCGTCTTCGAGATGCTGCCCACCAGTGGGACCTGGAATGGGACCCGCCGGCTGCCCATCTTCAACCGCATCTCCGTGTCGGAGTGAGCGGCGGGGGGAGGGCTTGCAATAGGATCCAGGCCATGGGAGGAATCTAATGGGGTGTGGGAGGGGTTAGATGCATCTACGGGGTGGGGTTGCAATCAACTCCTGGGAGCAAAAGGTGACCCCCTGGTCCTGCTTCCAAGGTCCCTCCAGGCGCTGCCCCCTGGCCCCTCCAGCTGCTGGTCCAGATGTTTGGGGAAGGACAGCAGCTCCCCAGCCAGATGTTGGCAGGAGCTGCTCCTGTCTGGGGGGTAGGGAGTGGGTGGAAGGGGATTGGGGTGGCCTTCCCTGGTGTGGGACATGAGCTCCCCACAGTGGGGGAGGGAGGGAGCGGGGGAACAGGCATCCAGATGTGCACAATACCAGATACCTGCTGGGCAAGGCAGGCTCCCTGCCTGGCCAGGTGTGGCCACACATTTTAAGTAACCTGCTTCTGCTACCTAACATTGAATGTTGCCACATGTGTGCGGTATCTGCACCATCACCCCGCCTTCCTCCAACCTAGAAGTGCCAGATGACACCACCAACGTGCCTTGCCCCACCCCTGCGGTCCGTCTGGGAGTGCTCACCTGCTTCAAATCAAGGACTCCACGCCTCCCCCGTGTCAGGCTTTCCAGCGGACTCGCCTGTGTTACGGAGGATGAGGGTAAAGCCCCGGGGGGCCAGCCTGCATCCCTGAAAACAGACTGACTTGGTGGGGAGGGGTGCAGTTTTATGCCCAATATGTAGCAGATTGTTGGGGTGGACCACATCCGTATGTGGGACAAATTTGGGTCTAATGGTGCTGCTTTCCTCCCCTGCCCTTACCCTAATTTCATGCTGTGAATATTTCTGGAAGGGTTCCCTGAATTGTTTTTTTGTGGGGTGGGATTGGGGGGAGCTCAGATCCATCCTGCTTCACCCCTTTTCATAAGGAGCTGGGGGGGCAAGGAGTGTCCAAGAACAACGAAAGCTTCCTCCACTACCCTTCTGGAATACCGATTTTTAAAAATACAGAATCGCCCTCTCTGACTTTAAAAATATACAAACTCCAGTAGCAGCCCCTAACCTTGGAGTAACACTTTAACAAGCAGTGGCCTATTTTGGCTCATTACTGGAGTACTTCCCCTAGGGTTTGTATTTGAGACTGGAGTAATTCTGTTCACTTCATTCAGTGGCTTTCAACTTTTTTTTATTTGTGGACCCCTAAAAAATTACCGATGGAGGTGTAGATCCCTTTGGAATTCTTTGACATTGTCTTCTGCAGACCCCCAGGGGTCGGCGGACCACAGGTTGAAAACAACTAGACTTAATTGGTATAAAACAGCTCTGGCTTTAATGTGTGTGTGGCGGGGGAGGAGGGCAGGATTAATCTACAAAGACAGTAGTGTTACTACAGTATTTATGCTCTAATGCCTTAAAGGGGAAGATGAGACAATCTGAGCCATCAGTATCTCTGGGTGGAGCAGGAAGGCAGCACTGAAATATCGGGCAGTTTGCAATGAAGATGTGGTGTCCCCCGCCCTTCCAGAATCCAAAGGTCATGGGGAGGGAGGGGTCTTTGTTCCACCCCTGTTAGCCACCCTATCCAAACGATCAACGTGACAGCAAGGTTGACCTTGATTTCCGGGGAGTTGGTCTCCAAAGCCATAGTGTTAAACCGGTCTGGCCTTGCCATGTAGTGAGCACTTTGTGAAGGGGTGGGAGAGGAGATGCACTGAGTTTGCCTTGCAAGGCAAGGTGGTGAAGTGCTCCCCAATCCAGCCCAGCCTCTCCTCTCTTGCTTGCAGCTGGTGTAAATCAGGAGGAAATGGACTTGGACCAGTGTTGCCAACCCCACAGGGGCAAACTCATACTCCCACCCCCCAAAAATAAAAAAAAAATCTTGAGTGTGGTTTTAAAAGGCTGCAGGTTTTAAAAAAACGACAAATCTCTTTGGATTTGCCGTGTTCAGCGTTCCCGTTTCTCCCCCCGCCCCAAACCCCGCAGGCTAAAAACTTGCTTTTTTTCCTTGTAAAGGCAAACAAAGGTACAGCTCTGGTCACATGACTCCTGAACCTTGGGGTTTCAGAACTGCTCTAAACCTCACACAGCTTTGGCAACACTGGTATCGAGCTCTGAATCCCACTGTGGTCGCTTGGGACGTCCCCTTTGCAGCTCGGAGGCCTAATGAGATCTTTCACGTTCCGTTTTCTGTGCTAACGATTCCCTGCTTTTGAAGTGTTGCTCTTGGAAACAAAAAACCAAACAAGCTCATGTTTACCTTTGTAATGATAGAAGAGAAACCAAAATTATTTATAGAACCTTATTTATTCAAGACAGAATTTTATATTATATTTATCTTTTTGTAATATTCTGAAATAATATATATTTTTCCCTGTTATTAAAAAGTTAATTCAAGAGAACCCAGTGAGATGTAACCATGGAGTAATAGGAGTGACAAATGTGTTTTTTAAAATCATCATTGTGGTGTTTTATTGCTGAATCTTGAGGATTTAAAAAAAGATGTGGAAATAATAAAACAAAGCCAGCCATGAGATTGGACTGTGTATGTGTGTGATGGGTCAGTGTACCCCCACCGCAAGTCTCCTCTTATCTGAAGAGTATAGAGCAAAGAACATGCACGGAGGGCCTGAAATTCCATTATGGGACACCATGTGTCGGAGGGCATCTACCTCCCCCCCCACCTGCTCTCTGAGCATCTTACAAAACATGGGGTTTTTAAGAATGGGGGTGGGGGAGGAATCTAGAGGCTGAACGGGAGATGATCTCTGTCCCAAACAGCTTCCAATCAACCCCTCTGAGAGGGGAAACTGAGGCATGGCTCAACAAAGAGGAAGGATGGCCCAGTGGTTATGGGATATCCATTGGGAGTGAGGTGCCTAGATCTCTTTGAGGAGCTGGGTGTCAGGACCTAACTCCTTTAGCCTGAAGGGAGAGTTCTAGCTTCCATAAATAAGTTCTGGAAGAACAATTACTGCAGGTGAGCCCATAATTGCCTGCCTCTAAAGCAGCCAGTACTGGTAAGATATGTGGCCATGTCAATGCATTGTTCTGGAAAGGGATTTTCTTCCCAGCTGCCTTATGGGGATCCAGGAAGCATTTCCTTCATTTTACAGGTGGCAGCCCTGGGATTTGAATTTAACCACAAGACTGTCTGGTCTGCCCGGATTGGGGTGGGACATCTCTCTCCATTCCCGTCACCCATTTGCTTGGAGTGCAGTCATGGGCTGATCTCCCCCAGCTCGCTTTAATCAAGCTAGCTGGAGCAGGAGGACCGCAAGTAATTACCATGGGGTCTGGGTGAGCTTGTCAAGTCTTTGCTGAAACCTGTGGCTTGCTGCTCCGGGCTGGCTAGGTTAAAGCTAGCACAGGTAAGTCTGCTGCAATCTTCCTCCCCGAGAAGCTTGATCAGTTTAGATTTGGCTCAGGCCTGCCCGGGCAGGGGCCGTGAGTGGTGGCACGTCCCCAGGTGATGAGCGTAGGTCGCATGCTGTGTTTCCTTCCCCCTTTTCGCTGGCTGCCCTCGTCACAGCTGATGCCAGCAGGGCGTGGCCAGTCCCTACCAAGGGCACGTCAACAAAGCGTTTTGCGCAAGGCCACGTCCCCGCCCAGACTGGAGGAACCGGCCCGTTGAGCGGCCCCCGCCCAATGCCTTCGGTAAACAAGCTGGCTTGGGAAACCTAGCCGAGCAAGGCCCAGGCTGAGCTGAGGGTGGGGGGGAGAGCTGGGTAGTTGGGCCTGTGTGAGAAGCCACCCAAGGTGGGGCCCCAAACACTGGCACCAGGAGCCAATTCCTTCATGAGCGGTTTCATCCCATGGGCCCCCAGTGCCAAACTTCGCCTGCCCTAGCCGGTTCTTGACGGCCGGGCAGAGGCAGCAATGGGAGTCCTGTACCTGTTAAGGCCAGAAGGGTGTAACACCCAGATCATCTGCTTTGACCTCCCTACAAGGCAGAGAGTGCTGCCCTCCCGGTATCAATGGGAAACAGAGGTGTTCGGGAAGCACCGAGAGGCCCTAGCAGAGATCCAGGCCCCACTTTGCCAGGCGCTGCATGGACCCCAATTGAGCTCAGGGCCCCTGTTTTGCCAGGCACTGCACAGACTCTGATCACGACTGGCTAGAGTAGGGGGTGGCTTCGGGTTGCAATCCCCCTCCACAGCCAGGCTGAAGGGATTCTCCCTCGAGAGAGGGCTGGGTTCTCATGGTTGCTGCATTGCTCCTGCTCAGTGGGGCCAGCTTCCAGGCTGACCACAGGGATCTCCCTCTTGGTAGGGCCTGCCGGAGCTTCTGGGAGCACGGCTGCGTTCGGTGTGTGCCGGGGTGCACTGGTTGGGGGTCTGTTCCGCTGGCTTTGGTTTTGGTTTGTTCTTTGTGGTGTTGGTCCCTGCCAGTTTCCCCTGGTGGAGGGGCTAAGGGGGGTTCTCCATGGGGTTCCCTGCAGCTGAGTTCCTTTGACCCGCAAGCCAGGGGCTCGGAGCCTGACTGCTGCGCTGCGGCGGGTGTGTTGCTGAGTAGAGGTGAGGCTTTTGGCTGTGCGACTGTAAAATCTGCCTCTTGAAGGGGTAAATCTGCAGGGATGTTTCCCGGCCCAGGAGGGACACCGGAGCATTGTTGGGTTCCTGTTTTTTCCCCTTGTCTACTCCTGTAGTTAAGTAGTTTTTTTCCAATGCCCCCCTGCCCTGGCGACTTCCTTCTGTCTCCAGGGCGTGTCCTGGAGGTTGAGGAGCAGAGCCAGGCCCTAGAGATGGGGGTGAACAGCCCGAGGAGCCGGGTGGAGCCAGCGTTGTTTCTAAACAGACTGCGGTGGGGGCCCGGTGGGTCCTGTGAGCCGGTGGAGTTTGAGGGAGGTGATGCGGATGATGCTGGTGTCTCTGACTCCTTGCTCCTTCCTGATGGCCCAGCCCGCCAGCTGGCTAGGAAGGGTGCGGCTGGCGTGCGGGAGACGCGCGACTTCGCGGGTCGCGCTAAAGGGACATGGGGGAGTCGAGGCTGAGGCTGACCCCCTGGCTTCCAGCGCTCTGTTCACTCCCCGGCCCTTGTCCCGAGAGAGACCTCAGCTGATCACCCAGGTGCCAACTTTCGTTTTCCTGGGTGGCTGCTCCGCCCCTTCCCCCAAAGCCCCACCCTGCTCCACCTCTTCCCGCCCCCTCCTTCCAATGCCCCGCCCCCTCCCCCAGCAGCTCCCACCACAGCTGATTGGTGGGTGCTCCAGCCCCGGAGCCCCCGCGGAGTCGGCACCGCCTGGGGCTGATCATGGGAAGCGTCTCCATCTCACTACGTCGAGGAAGCACATGGGGCGTGGCCAAGATAGATAGGCCTCCAACGGGGCCCATTGTGTTCGAAGTACTGCTGCTCACCAATGTCTCCCCCGGCCCCTTGGCCCTCTCCATCTAGCCTTGATGGCCTCTCGAAATATTAACGGCGGCCATGCGGGTCATAAAAGGGCACAACTCTTGGAAGTTCTCCACCCGGGAGGGGCTGATCTCGTCCTTCCGCAAGAGGGGCGCTCAGACCCTGCTAAGCCAGGGGGCTGGCTGAAGGCACGGGAAGGGGACGCTGTCTTGGGTCATGGCTCCGATGTCGACTGGGGAAGCCGTTCTCTTTTCCCGGCGTGCAAGGGCACGGATCCTCTCTGTGCCTTAGATGGCACGGGGCCGGCTCCTCCGGGTAGAGACGCGTACGGGCGCGGTCGTTTTCAATCTTTTCACTGTGCCTGCCCCTGCTCTGGGCCAAGAGCTTGGCTCCTTTTCTGCAGATACTTGCCCAAGCCATTCTGGGCTGTGACCCGGATACTATTATTGCCCTGGGAGGAGACTTCAGTCGCACTGTAGATTATGAAAAGGAGGACTTGGGGCACCTTAGAGACTAACCAATTTATTTGAGCATAAGCTTTCGTGAGCGACAGCTCACTTCACAGAATGCATCAATGAAGTGAGCTGTCGCTCACGAAAGCTTATGCTCAAATAAATTGGTTAGTCTCTAAGGTGCCCCAAGTCCTCCTTTTCTTTTTGCGGATACAGACTAACACGGGTGTTACTCTGAAACTGTAGATTATGTTTTAGACAGGAACCAAGCCAGCCGTCAGCCAGGGAACTGTACTGTCTCCTGCAGACCTTTGGGCTAGTAGCTGTTTGGAAGGTGAGGGCTAACCCCGGCCAGGTTTCAGGGGCTAGACTGGATCACTTTTATACCACGAAGGCCAGTGTGGATGTGTTTGTTCACTCTGCCGTTGTCTCCCACTCATTTGTCTGAGCATCGTCCGGGCTCTGCTGGCGTCTCTCCCTCTCCTTGCCGGTGCATCCCACGGGTGCTTTCATACCAAACCGTTACAGGACGTGTTTGGGGAGAGTCGGTGGCAGTGGACGTGGCTGTACAAGTCCCTGAGACAGTGGTGGGATGTCGGTGAGGTCCAAATCCGCATCCCCAGGCTGCCATCAGGCCCTAGAACGAGAGATCTTAGGCCTTCGTGGCGACTCTGATGTAGGAAACCCGGCGCAGATTCACCAGACCTGCCCGGAGAAGACCCAGCTCCGGAAGTGCTTGCTGGAAGAGATGGTGCCAGGAGCCCTGGCCTGGTTGTCTCCACTGCGTGAAACTGACGCTCCCCCAAGGTTCTTTTTTGGGTTGGAGACAAAGCCTGCGGCCCGTGGGAAAGCAGCGGTTCCCTTGATAGCGCTCTGCCCCTGAAGCCTGGGATGTGCTGGCACGGGGGGAGCTGCACCTGTCTGACCTGTGAGGAACAGAGGTGCTGAGATGCCCCGCCGGCACGGCAGGAGCTCTCTGATGCAGTCCAGCAGCCTTCTACAGGCCAGGCCCCAGGTACTGAAATCGACAAGCCTCTGGCATCTTATCGGTCCTGTTTTTTTTCTAGCCGTGCTGTCTCCAGGAGAAAAAGCTGCTCTCCGTTTTCCTCAGGGCAGCGGCCAAAAAAGGGGGAATCTCTGTGATCTACAGCACGGAAGAGCTTTCTCTTTCTCTCCTCTGTTCTGATGATAAAGTTTTGCCCAGGGCCTGCGCCAGCTGAATGCTTTGACGCACCCCGATCTGACACATGGCATTGCTAACCGCCGCCCACCTAATCATTTGTTTTTAATTGGTGATGTCTTAATTGTTAGCAAACCTTGTCATCTGGAGGTGGGACTTGTTTCAGAGGGCCAGGAGAAGGCCTGTGACAGAGCGACTCGTCGTCGTCTTCTGCAGACGTTAGAAGCTTTCGGGACCGGGCCAGCGTTCTCGTCCTATATTTCTTTATTGGACCACAGTGATTTGAATGATTCAAGATTAACCGGAGTCTTAATGCCTGGACAATCCCGGAGGGTTGGCCGCCCTATGCAAGGCAGCCTGCAGAATTGGCTCTGCCTCCTGCCTGGATTCTCCTTTCAGGGACAGGTTTGGATTGCCAACCATCTCGTGACCTCGGAGTTGGGGCACTGGCTAGTGTGGCTGGACCCTCTCCCGGGCCTTTGGCACCGGATTCAGAAGGATAGTAACCATTTTTTTAAATAGTTACTGCTGGTTGCACCCAGCTGTGCTG